CAAGTAAACAAACAAAATCTTCTATCTGCTGAACTGACGCTGATGATTGATTTAAGCGGTAAACTTAAGACAAAATATCTGCTTTGTGAATTCTGTCAGGCTGAATTTAAAACCACTCGTGAAAACGAGTTAGAACTTTGAAACTTCATGCAACTCCGTTAACTCATTCCTTCAATTTTCTGAGCTGTATATGTGCGTGTGTGTGTGTGCGTATGTGTGTTTTAGCTTAGTTTTGATGTAATCTAGAATAGCCAATAAAATTCATGTTTCATTTATAAAGAATCATTGTCTGGTGTCATATAATTTTAAAGTCAAACCCTTGCCAAAGATCACGTTACCTCTCTAAGAGCTTACAAATTATCATAATTGTATTATCCTGTGGCCAAGGAAAATACACAGTCAGATTAAGATACACTGATATTAACGTCTCGCTGGACGACCGTTGATAAGGTGTAAACTATTGAAATTTGAAATCAGTTCTAATCAGGTGGACTTCGAATTTTCAGATCCGAGTCCTTTCAAACCCTGAATTAATTTATAATAATTAATTCCCAAAAATGAAGTAATCAAGACATTACAAAGGTATACAAATACTTTCATATCTACACAGTGCGTGTAGAGGAGCTCAACAAGTTTTGTGACTTTGGGGAGCTGGATTATCAGAAATTACTCCAGCATGGACTCTCTTGGTCCTCTCTTGGTCTTGAACGAATTCTGCACCTTTTTGATGGACTGCGTGCATGCTTTCTATCTCAAGAAAAATGGCCAAAAGTTCTACGAGACACATTCAGCAACCCTTGGACAAAACTTTGGTTTGGATTTGTACTTAAGCAGATTTTCACTTTTCACCGTGCACTGGAGACAATAGAGCAAGACCATATATCTGCCACAGAAGTCGCTTTCCACATTCATGACCTGAGAAAAATCTTGCAGGCCAGGCTGGAGGAATTATTTATTCCCTCTGACATTAAAAAGCAGTTAGACACCCTTGTTGAAGCTGGTGACATGCAAGCAGATGATTTCTTTTGTGCAGTGAGAAATTTTTTCAGCATAAGTGGATTACATCAATAATTGGAGCTGCTCATTGGAGAATACAAAAGAACTTGAGTGGGCCCTACTGAGAAGTGTCCCAGAGTAGAGAGACATTCAGAGCAGCCTCAGCAGCTTCTACTCCAGAATACCTGCTCTCAGTTTGATTGACGAAACCAAGCTCTTTGATGAGTGGGCTTGTGCAAAAAATGCTGTTACTTGTCACATCACTGAGTGGAACACAAACAAGGTGGCTGTGTCTGATAGATGGTCAGATGTATTTTGTGAGATGGGGATAAAGTCACTCAATTTCGAAGCCTTATCTCTGGCCGCTCTGAATGCTTTTCATACATATTAATTTTGGACCGGACTGCTCTGAATTTTACTGTAAACTCGTGAAAGACAAGCGTACACTGGCAAAAATTTCTTCCAGCGAAAAGTACAAAACATCAACCATTGATGATGCTGATGCACCCTCTTGTTCCCATTTATCTGCATGTTAAGGTAAGACATCAAATTCTTTAATAGCTAACGTTATCATTATGTGTAGATATATTTATGCTACGTTGTAGTGGGGGTCGGGGTGCCTGTCCGTCCCGTATTCCACTCTGAGAAATATGACAAGATGCACCCTACACATGCATCTTGTCATATGTATTAACCAAGCATTTGTAAACAAGATTATAGGCCTAGGTCTATCCATATTATTCAATTTTGTAGTAAAAAATACTTAGTTACAATACTTAAGTATTTTTTTGGGAGTATCTATACTTTACTTGAGTTTTTATATTTCAGCCGAATTTTACTTTTACTCCACTACATTTCCTAATTAAAATGTATACTTTTACTCCGATACATTTCCCCGAAGCATATTCGTTACTTACTACAAAATAGTCAGAATAACACAAACTGCAAGCAAGCAGGTTTGACGAATCAGTGGTCTGGCGCTTTCAAGTTAGACTCCTAAAAACACCTTTGCTCATGTGCAAACAAGTGGGCGCACAACCACAGATGATTCATTTTCCACTCAAGTCGAGGCTGGGGTGTGCGATACAGCATCGTCTGCGATATTGTAAGTGTTGTTGTAATGATGTGCGATCTGACATTATCAAGTAGGCTAACGTTATATCACCAAATCACACACAGAGTGCACACACGTTGATTTAGTAGTCTATTAAAACTCAAAATTCCGGGCATTCTAAACAAAAATGCTTCTGTATGCTTTTTATATATACTGTATATAATTTAATAGGCTATAGTTAACTTAATCTACATCACACAAGGTGTCAGGGGTCCAGGTCCTGTGTTTCTCCCTATCACCACCAGAGGTCTACTATATAGTATCCTCTCACTCACCACTCTGCCTGGCTGAATTATTGTAATGGTAGTTGTGTAGTCGGCGGTGCCCGTTTACAATGCTCCCAAGGTGGCAGTGCCCGCTGATGTTGCCTCCGAGGTAGCAGAGCTCGTTTCAGGCCTTCCCGAAGTGGCGGGGCCCGCTGATGTTCCCTCCGAGGCGGAAGAGCTCGTTTCAGGCCTTCGCGAAGCCCGCTAGTAGCTTCTCCGAGTCGGCGGAGCTTGCTTCAGGCCTCCCCGAAGCTGCAGAGCCCGCTGATGTTCTTTTCGAGGTGGTGGAGCTCGCTTCAGGCCTTCCCGAAGCAGCGGAGCCTGCTGATGTTCCCTCCGAGGCGGCAGAGCTCGTTTCAGGCCTTCCCGAAGCAGCGTAACCCACTAGTACTCTCTCCGAGGCGGCGAAACTCACTTCAGGCTTTCCCAAAGTGGCGCTGTCCGCTCACACTTCCCCCGAGGCGGCGGTGTCCGCTCACAGTTCCCCCGAGGCGACGGTGTCCGCTTACAAAGCTCCCGAAACGGCGGTGTCCATTCACAAATCTCCCAAAGCAGCGGTGTCCGCTCGCACTTCCAAGGCGGCGGAGCTCACCTCTGGTCTTCCCAAAGTGGCAGTGCTCGCCTCTGGGATTCCCAAAGCGGCGGAGCCCGCCATTGCCCGTTCCAAGATGACAGCTCAACACACACCGCTGTGGTGGCCGCTGGTTCTGCCCTGGGTCCCCATCCCGCTTGCTCTGCCTCAGTCCCCAGGTCCCCCTCCAGCACACGGACTTCTCACGGACTTACACCCTCAGCTGTTCCCCATTGTCACAGACTATATATTCTCCTTTCACTCACCACTCTTCCTGGCTGAATTACTGTAATGCTAGTTGTATTTCTTGTTTGTAGGTTGTGGATGCGAGCACTTTCTGTTGCCGTATTTGTATCCCGGTCCTGTTCTTGGTTGAGTTGTTTTTTGTTTCTGTTTTTGTTGATTAAATCTAGTTTCTCCAGCACTTGGACCCAGACCCTGTTTTTTCTACGGTGCTCTTTTACGGCCCCTTGACACAAGGAGTACCGTTTTTCTGCAGATTTTTAGCATGATAACACATTTAATAATCATTTTATACAAGTTCAATAAAGCAATAAGTGACTTACATTTTAGACATAATATTGCTTGTTTTTGCTCAATTTTGCCAAAGAAAATAGTTCCAAACATAGATCACAGCACTGTTTTGCATCTCTGAGCAATGGACGATGTTTACTTATTGAATGAATCAGCTTTTTTAACGAATCGGTTGAATAAATGATTCAGTGATTCAGTCATTAACATAGTCAAATGCTTTGTTCCTCAATATATCAGTCTTTTGAATGATTCGGTTGAATCTCAATAACTCACTCATTAACAGTAACTTGCTGTCACCTACTGTCGGTTTTAATTTCACATTTCTACTATTTTTTTCATGTTTTAAATCATTTCAAATATCAGTATTTAACATTTTATGTTAAAAACAAAACATTATTTATCCATCTGTAACTGCAGGTTAAATGCATCAATGTCCCCTCTGAGATAGACCTACATTAAACTGTGTACATACATCTAAATACTATTTCAGATGCAGATTCCAAAAATAATTTATGTTAGAATGAAAGACACGGATGAAGTGCTTCTTATTCTTACCCAAAAATACAAAATGGAAGAAAGAGTTAAAACTTATTCAAATTTTATACTATTACATACATATTACATACAATTACATATATTGTGATATATAAGTAAATATATTATCACATATTTTTCAATATATGAAAGCGGCAATTCCTTATGTATTATAAACTATTTCTGGGGCAGCAATGGAGTTCCGCAAGTGTGTTTGTTTGTTCCCGTCATTTCGGTGATGCATGTTTTATAAACAAGACCCAGTTCGACACTAGATTTGTACATCGTTTAAAATGTTATCTGATCTCATGAAAAAAATATACAAGACAAACTAAAATTTTGTCAATAAAATAAAATAATTATTATTTTTTCAAATAAAATGATGCCGTTATTTAAGAATGAAAAATAATCCGATTTTTGAGTTTGACAATGAACACATTGCAACCAGGCTTGGGACGGCCCACAAAAACGAGCCAAAATGCTTTACATGCCTTGAAATAATAATTTCTGAACATTAAACATTGACTGTAGTCTGTATTCACCTGCAATTCCTTATGTATTATAAACTATTTCTGGGGCAGCAATGCAGTTCCGCAAGTGTGTTTGTTTGTTCCCGTCATTTCGGTGATGCATGTTTTATAAACAAGACCCAGTTCGACACTAGATTTGTACATCATTTAAAATGTTATCTGATCTCATGAAAAAAATATACAAGACAAACTAAAATTTTGTCAATAAAATAAAATAATTATTATTTTTTCAAATAAAATGATGCCGTTATTTAAGAATGAAAAATAATCCGATTTTTGAGTTTGACAATGAACACATTGCAACCAGGCTTGGGACGGCCCACAAAAACGAGCCAAAATGCTTTACATGCCTTGAAATAATAATTTCTGAACATTAAACATTGACTGTAGTCTGTATTCACCTGCTTCTCATCATTTCTCATAAAAATTAATTAAAGTAAATAGTGTAAATTACATCACTAATGTCATAGAAAAGCATAGTGTTACAATGTCTTTACAACATCTGCGCAACTGGAAATTAAAACTGGTTTGTGTCTTCTGCTAGTTATTGAAGCATTAAAAAACTATCTAAACTGATAAAAAAAAACAAATTGGAGATGTAAATAATAGCAGAGTTGTCTCACTTTAAATTAATAATAAAAACTGAGATGAAAAATGTACTTAAGCCAGAAATTTAATTTTACTATGGTAAAATAAATGTTCAGCGATATCTTCAAAATACTGATATGGTAACTAGTAAATACTGTACATTTTGTTAAGCTAGCATGTGTGGAAATCTTTAAACCACATGTGTTACAACTAACCCCGCGTTACTTTGTGCCCTACGCTTCCGGACTGTAAATAAAAATGCAAAAAAAAAAAAAAAAAAGCAGCACTGTTTTGATTTCTAAGTGATCACATGCTGGTCATGTGGAACTTCACATCTAATTTCTGAAACAAAATTAGCATGCTTTTAATGTAGTGAGTTCAGGGCCATCCGTAGCTGACGTGGGGCCCCTCTCGGTCCGTTCGTGATCGGGTCCAGCTTTTTCGCATTTGCCTCCCAAACTCTGGAATAGCCTTCCTGATAACGTTCGGGGTTCAGACACACTCTCTCTGTTTAAATTAGAGCTGTAGTCAAGTCCAGCTTTGTCGAGTCCAAGACAAGTCCAAGACCAGGACTAGTCGAGACCGAGTCAAGACCGAGTCCAAAGAGGTTCGAGTCCAAGTCAAGTCCAAGTCCAAAAGTTCCAGTCCAATTCAAGACCGAGTCCAAATGAGAGAAAAAAAAGGATCCTCTTCAAGACCACATACTTAACTATTGATAATGTATGTGATGCGAGAGACAGCATATCTCTTATTCTAAGAAAATAATTTTACATTATTATTTGTAATGATCAAAAAGCATGTGCAAAGTAACAACTCTGTAGGACAGAGACTCTCTGCCAATGCCCTGCAGAGTTTAGCTCCAACTGGCCTTAACACACCTATCCTATCATAGCAGACATATCCACTGATTTTCATTGATTTTACCTTTCTAATTGTCCTGCACGATATGAGGAAATTCTGCTATGTGTGATAACAGTGGAGTGTTTTTTTTTTGTAATGATGATTACTTGTGATAAATAAATGAATAATTAACTGTGCATATTAGGGCCAACAAATAAAACAAAAAAACTAAATTTAGTTTTTTTGTTTTTACAGCGGTGAGCATTACAACCAATAACATACGATTCCAATGAGTTTATTAATGCAATGGCCAATCAAAG